ACACACACACACACACACACACACACACACACACACACACACATAACCATCATACACAAAAATCAAATTAACACCCTTAGTCCTTGTTGAAATTTTGATAACTGACTTGCATTCACTGTTCTTGTCTCATGTTGTTTGTTTTGTCAATGTTATGTCTTTTGTCTTGTTATTTAAAAAAAAAAAGTGAACTGATTGTTTGGTGAATTTGGTGGTCAAAGGTCACTGTGACCTCACAAAACATGTTTTAGGCCATAATTCAAGAATGTCTGCGCTAGTTATGACAAAATTTCATACAAATGTCTAATGGGATAAAATGATGAAGTGCTGACATTTTGTATTAAAATTGTCATCTTCACTGTGACATCATAATGTTCTGCAAAAACAGAACACTTCCTGGCCATTACTCAACATCATAACTCAGGAACAGAATGGGAGACATTTGGTCAGACACTGAATTGGTGACACTAATCTTGGGTGTCCACCTTGAAACTGTGCTGATTGTATAGATCTTCTGTGCTGCCGCATTAAAGATGTGTGTGTGAAGCATCCATGTTTTCACAGACATTAATGTAAACTGTAACCACAACTTGATGGGTTTGCTAAGGCATGCAACAGTGAGGGGATAGTTCTAGTTTTTCAAAGACATTGGTGAAGCTTTAAAACAGCCAGGACCACCCACTCTGTTTTCATATTTGTATTGTATGAGTGGATAAGTTCCAGTGGAGTTGCTATATGCATTTGATGTCAGCGTATTGTGGTGATTAATGTCATTCTACTGGATTATTATTTAATAGGATAATGCTGCTTGTTATACGGTAATAGTACTAATCATTCCCATAAAGTATTAACTTACGCTGTGTCCTAATTCCATCCTTTCACTAATTCTAAGCAGGATTTCAGTATGTAGTGTGTTCACACAGGAAAAATGACAAAATTAAGTATAGACACCAACGCTCTTAATTGTGAATGGTGGGATAGTTCCAGAAAGGACAAAGCATTAAACTGTTAGACAGAGTTAACTTTACTTTAATTGCATTAACTTTAATTGGCAATTCAGTGTTGCAACTTGTCATACATCAGTGCATGCACAATATAATTTCATCTTGGTGCAAAGAGGGTTAACTACATTGACAATATGTTTTATGATACATTATACTATAGGATGATTATATAATGTGCCCTTGCATCGAGACATCAGACCTACAGGTTGGCCCAAGTGGTAGCAACGTATTGTTCCCAAACTATTCCAGCCCTCCTCACTGCACTGTAAAGCTCAATCCCTCCATGACACAAAATTTTAATGTTAATCTACACAAACACCCAGGATTGTCAAAGTGACCTAAAAACTTTATGTTCACTTGACACAAAAACTCATCCCTTGTGTGCTTGACCTAATATTTTGAAATTAAGTCAACAATTTTTTTTGTTAATTTGATTAAGATTTATAAAGCCAATTTTGCCTAATTAGTTTAGGGCCAAAAAACAACACTATCATTCTGCTCTTAACATATTGTGGCGTGTTGGGGCTAAACGGGCGCATTTCCCAGCATGCTGTGAGACAATGTGTTTGAAGCCATAAATCAAAGAAAACTGTTTAAATGTGTTCTAAATCACTCACGTTACCCCTCACACAGTGATTAATGTTTATGTATTTCACACTGGTTCTGATTGGTTACCGTTAATGTTGTGGTAAAAGACATTTTGCACCGTGAGTTAAGTCGTATACAGTTAGTGACCTCCCGCCTGTGTGGATATTAGAGTGTAACATAACGTTGTAAATAGTGAAATAAACAGCTCTTCCTGGTTCAGAGTTCTTCTCTTTGCCTATTTTTGCAATCAAGAAACCCAAGCTCACCACAATATATTTTCATAGTTCAATTAAATAAAAAAAATTTGTTAAATTTGTACTTAATTTTATGTTCAGATGACATGGAATTAAATCCTCAAACAACAAAAAGTTAAATCGACATGAAATTCCTTACAGACAAGGGTTACGTGACACATTTATTTTGTGTCTGGTGTACTCAAAACTTTTGTTACTGTATTGCACTAAATTAAGTTTTGAGTGCAAGCTGTTTGCAACACCATTTGACACTATTACATTGCTGTTACAGTCATCATTAGTCCAGTACTGACATAGGAGAGCTACAAACACCTTTAGTAGGTTACCATGGACAGGAGAGCTACCCTGTGTGTGTTCAGCAGTAGCACTCCATACAGCTATACACTGGAAATTGTTGTAGCCTGCAAAGTATTATGATAACTTTCATTCTCTGTATTAGAGATTACTTGTTATAACAGCCATCCAGCATCTCCCACATTTACCTGCAGCCAGCTATCACATAGCAAATGTTTTCATGAGGTGTCTTGCATTCTGCACAACCCACTGCACTTCTTTTTAATGCTTTTACTGTTTTTCGGGTAGCTGGAGATAAGGCTTCCCCGTGTGATCCAAACATTACATTGCGTACTGCACACAAAGGGAGATACGCATACGTATATTTATAAAGGAAGCTGATTTGATAAAAAAGACTAAAAAAGTTAATCCCATTAATCACTTTAATCAAATGACGACAGACAAAAAACTTCAATAGAGGTTTCAAATGTTAAAAAACAGATTTTGATACAGCTCTACGTGTTACCCTGACTTCATTATAAAGTGACTGTTTTGGTTTTAGATCTGGCATCACACGTTCCAGCAGCTGCGTGTCGAACCAGACGATCACCCTGTTATGCTGACCGAGGCAGCCATGAACCCGTTGGAGAACCGCCAGCGCATGGTGGAGATCATGTTCGAGTCTTTCAATGTTCCCTTCACATACATAGCCATGCAGGCAGTGCTGGCTCTTTATGCAGCAGGGAGATCCACTGGTAATTATTTTTTTGTTATACATTTTATTTATGCATTGTGTTGGATTGGTGGACATCGGTGAATACATAATTAAGTCAAGTTGATCATATGTTATTTAATTATAAGGCTTAATAGCACTTTATAACATCTTTGAATTGCATCAGTCTCATCTTGGCATGTTTAAACTTATTTTAAAGACGTATTTTCCTTCTTGGATCAAACAGAAAATGTGATGATACTTCTTATGCTTTTGTTGTTGTAGGTGTGGTGTTTGACTCTGGAGATGGAGTGAGCCACAGTGTGCCTGTGTTTGAGGGATACTGTCTACCTCATGCAGTGCAGCGCTTCCCTCTGGCTGGTTTGGATGTTACAATGCATCTTAAAAAGGTATTCTCTTGCTTTTTTGTTGTTACACAGTTTATGAGCAGTGATGTTGATGGATAACACTTGCAGTTGGCAATTTGGCTGAAGACATGGGGTCTGAAAAAATCTGGTGAGAAGAGGGATCATTCAGAGAATATTTAGCTGCTGTTACACAGCAGTAGTTTTAGGGTTAGAGGACATCTGGGCCTTAGACTGAACATTTTTGAGACTGTCTGGGATCATGCTTCGATCACTAAATGTTGCAATAATAATGACAATGACAACAATAACATCAACTATATGAAATAACAACAAATCTGTCAATTAACAATTCTGCTATGCCTGTGATTAAAGCTCCTGCAGGAACAAGGGGTGAGCATGCGCACCTCAGCAGAGATGGAGATAGTGAGGGAGATAAAGGAGAAGTGCTGCTGTGTGGCTCTCAACTATGAAGCTGAGCTGAGTCAGGGGGGGCCATCCTGCAGAGAGATGTATTACACCATGCCAGATGGACAGATTGTCACTCTCACCACGGAGAGGTTCAGGTAACTGCCTGTCTGCACACCATGTCCTGCTTTAGATGGACACTCAGTTCACTGGATGGGGTTCCTAAAGGAAATCAATAGTGCCACTAGAAAATTTAAACTTTTATGTTTTGCATGTTTTAGTAAAAATTGTCATCAGCTGTTAGGATGGGAAATGACAGGCTTAATGAAAAACATACTAACAACAAGATCTATGATAAACACGAGTCCTCTGGGAACAGTACAGTTCACATTCATGTTTGAAGTGATCCATATCTGATATCAGTGTGACATCAGTGTGTGTGTGGATCTCTGCCCTGAAACACTTCAAAAGTTAATGTCATCTCGAAAAGTAAAGGTCTTGTCAAATTTGTTGAAACTTTTAAAGAAAATCTTGAATAGTTTCTCTTGATTTGCTTTGACTTGTATATATGTACACAAATTCTGTTTTATTTATTTTGTTGTGCATTGGCTGCCGCCTGTCCTGATTTGTTAATGTTTTTTTTTTTTTTTGTCTGCCCCTTATACCCCGGGGAGGGGTCAAAAGGAATAAATGAAAATGAAAAAATGAAAAGTCGGGCTCTATTGGCCAGCGGCTGAGGCAGGTACCGGTATGGCTACAGCAGCCTTCTGTAGTTTCAACAGACCTCTCAGACACTTTGCAGTGAGGTATGACGTGGAAAAACCAATGGTTGTTTGGGAAAAACACATGAATTACGATATGACCGTTCTCACAGAGGTCACATGACCAGTGATCAGGTATGTATCGGATTTATGACCACATCTGATTGGAAAAAATCTGATTTCTGTGTCCACACTCCTCTGAAAAAAATTAGATTTGTGTCACATGACAGCAAAAAAATCTGTTTTAGGACACATTTGCTTGTAATGTGAATGTGGCCTTAGGTAGTAAAGTAAACATTATACCTGCTTAACATCCACAAGTTAACTTTGTCATTCATTGCTGATGTTAGGCACAGTGGTGCTGTGAGCTAAATGCTGAGACCAGCCTCACAGAGCAGTTAGCATGGCTGTGTGCGTTTTTGGGCATTATGTTTTTGTCCGTCTGTCCATCCCATTCTCGTGAACGTGACATCTCAAGAAGAGCCTCAAGGTAATTTCTTTAAATTTGGCACAAACATCCACTTGGACTCAATGATGGACTGATTAGATTTTGGCGGTTAAAGTCAACTTCACAGTGACATTGTAATGTTCTGCAAAAACACTTTTCTGGCCATTATTAACACCATAACTTAGGAGCAGAAGGGGAGACATTTGGTCAGACACGGAATTGGTGAAATTAATCTTGAAACTGTGTTTGTTGTATAGCTCTTCTGCGCTGCCAGGTTGAAGATGAGTCTGAAGCATCCATGTTTTAGAATTTTTAGCCTTTTTAAAGGCACCATCCCTATGAAACATTGTCAACTGTCAATAGCTACATATGACTCTGGACAGATATGGATGTAAACTGCAACCTTAACTTGACTGGTACACGTAGGCCTACAACCACAAAGCAATAATTCTAGTTATTAATCTTGTGTGTTGCATTAACTTGCACTACATTTGGACTATGTTTAGATTGGCCTTTGACAACAGTCATATGGAATATTGAACCGTGGAATTTCTCGAACTGCAAGACAGCCGGTAAAAAATTCCTGACCTGGAAATTCTGGCCAGTAATCCACCAGCTGTCCTGTTGGTCAGAATGTTGATCATTCAGGCAATGAATCAGACGGAGTGGTCGCTCTCAAATTGAATGTCATACCACAATGGATCTGGCTGAAAATGATTCTAAAATGAGTCAGGGGCCACCAGTTTGGGGCTGAATCTGTGAGGTGTCTATCTGGCTTCATTCTTGTTGAATGATGTCACATGCCATCTTTATATCCAGAGTAGCAGAGAGCCTTTTCCTTCAGGTGCTGCACACATGTCAGACTGTTGAGACAGATCAGCTGCCTCTGTTTTCAGACTCCTCAGACAGGAAAGCTATGTCTTATAACCGCCTACTCAAATAACTCTACTACTTCCTTGTTCATCCAGGGCCCCTGAGATTCTTTTTAAACCCGAGCTGATTGGACGGGACCATTATGGCATGCACGAGAGCATCTTCAAGTCAATCCTCAGCTCAGACATTGACCTGCGGCGCTGCTTCCTGGGAAATATCGTCCTGTCAGGTAACAGTTGGTTTCTGTTACGGTGTTACACAACAGTGTGAGGGCTCAAAGATGCACTCCAGCTGTGCAACTAAATCAAAAACATAGCGTCCTAGTTTTATGCTCTGATCTTGATTTGATTTGGCCCAGGTAATTTGATCTTTTCTCAGTGATTGTTATAAAAATCTCTTGCTGTAGGTGGGAACACTCTGCTGGCTGGCCTGCCTGAGCGGCTCCAGGCTGAAATCAAAGGACTGGTTCCAACCGACATGGCAGAGAGCGTCCGAGTCAGCAGCCCCAAGGACAGAGTGTTCTCAGTGTGGAGCGGAGGAGCAGTGCTGGCCAACCTGCCCTCGTTCAGTTCTGCTTGGATCAGTCAGGAAGAATACGAGGAGTATGGGCCGCTGATTGTCTTCAGGAAATGCTTCTGAGGCGGACCACTATGAGGAGTGCACGCTGGCTGGACTCCTGTGTAATATACCACTTAATCTGATTTCACCAAGTGCAATATACATACAGCTCTAACACAGTGCCATGGATACGTCTGAGCCATTATAAGCCCTTTTTATATGTTTGTCTTTTTTTATGTATGAATGAGTTGTGTGTGGAGTCAGTCTCACCCTCGTCGTCAGCGTGATCATAACCTGTGAGCTCTCACTCGACACCAGTGGGATCCTTTTGACCTGCTGAGTGCTTAATGCGTCATCTAATGAGCTCCACCAACAGGACATGGATGAAATTGGTGTCATAAAATTCCTGTCGTTCGACGTTAGTGTTCCTCAAGGACTGTTTACTCTGCCTTAAGTTTCCCGTTTCGGGAATGTATTTCTGTGTCTCAAGAATTTAAGCGCACGTCTGTTAATGTCTGTGGTGAAGGGACGAGAATTGAAGCTGGCCTTTGATTAATGTCTGCCAACTTTGTTTCTGTAATAAGCAATTGAGGGACATGAAGTGAACTCAGTGTGCTGACTCAAATATATATTAATCTAATATCAAATTATGGCGTGTATGTATGCAGCAATTTAAATTAAAATGGGATTATACAACAGTTTAAAGTAAAATTCAATTATACAACAATTTAATGTAAATTTGGGTCTAACAAATTATTTTTATGTTTTAGACATGGTGAAAGTTGCTTTAATTTAAATTTGGATCAGTGCAGCTGTGCAGTCTTCACTATGACTTTATTTTTAGCAGGATTAAATTATCTGTACGATGGGTTATTAGGGCCATTTCTAGAAAAAAAATAGTCCTTATAATATAACATAATCCTCAAAGGTTTGTCTTTTTTCATGTACCATTTTAACTCTTTTCAAAATATGACTAACTTTTTCTTGAAATGTTCATTTTTGTCATAGCATATCTTTTTTCTCAATAATTAAGTTTTTACTTGTAATGTAACGACTTTTTCCCCTCATAATTACGTCCTTTTTTCATAACATTCCATTTTTTTTCCTTGAAAAATTCAACTTTATTCTCAAAATGTATGAGTTTTTTTTCCTAGCAGTGGCTCTGATAATCATCAGCTCTCCCAAATCGAAGCAAAAGATAACTGTACATGAATGTTTCCTGTCGCTGCAGTAATGTGAATTGGAGAGAAGATATGGATTTGCAGGATGTTAAGTTTACATTGTAGCAAACCGTTAGCAGAATCATGTGTCATATTTTCCCACTTGATCCTCCACTTGAGTCAACTTTTGGTTAGTGAAGGTTTGTGTGTAGCCGTAACCCTAAGTGCAAGTCCATGGAGAAAGATGTAAAGTGCAGTATTGGTTGTGAAATGCCTTTCACTTGGTTTCAGTCTGTTGAATAAGCAGGTGATGTTAAATGCTTCTGCTGCAGGTGCAGTGTTTGTTGTAAAAATTTAAAGTCTTTTGAATATTTTCTATTTGAGTGCAGTGTCTTTCTAAGAAGTTGTGTGGATTTTGAACACTTGCTCAGTAGTGTTGATGTGTGTGAAAGGTGTTCCAGTGGTGCCAAAACGGCTGCATTTATATCAATACCATGGATTCTGAAAACCCCTTTGCCAACCTTGTATATTTATACTTCATCTATGTTTTATCTTTTGCATGCAGTTATTTTGTCGTGCATCATTTAGTTAAACCTTTTTTTGCATGTACTTCTTTGTCTGCATGTTTTTCTTTGGATTTTTGTGACGTGCCTCTCCTAAAGGCATGAGGTTTGTCATGTGACCTAAAGTTCAGCTCTTAGTGGAAATCACCATGAAATGTGACTGGGGACTGTATTTCTGCCCTTACGTAAGACTCGGTCTGCCTCGTTTACTCGCTGTAGTTTGAACAGGCTCTTTTGTATCCTCCTCCTCTACATGTACTGTAACAGTCTGGACTGAGTCTAGCAATTTTTCAAACCATGCTATTTATGTCATGTCTGTTTTTATAATAAATCTTTAAATAATCCTTTTGTGTTGTCTGTTTTTGTTAAACAGACACAAACAGTTCTTCAGAATGTGTTCCACTGTAGCAGCTGAACTAAATACATTCCTTAGGCTGCCTAAGCAGGAAATAAATGGGAAATACTCCAGTTAGAGTGGAATCTCTATTCGGCCCATCATATGCATCTACTGTCAAACATTGTACATCACTTTAAGTAGGTTGTTGCTCTCCACATTTATTGTAGGACACTGTGTTAAGTTAAAACTGTTCAATTCAAATACCTCCTCTTAATGTCATCTGGCTTAAAAATGCTTCTGTGCGACTAAAAGTTTTCATGTCTAAATGACATACAGTATGAATATGGATTAGTTAAATTCCAGCAAATTCTGGAAGCAAACATCACAACATCTGTAATAAAAAAAAGCTGAAGCTGAAGAGATGATGGTTTCTTCAACAGGACAATGATTCTAAACACACCTCGAAATCCACAATGGACTACCTCAAGAGGTGCAAGCTGTAGGTTTTGCCATGGCCCTCACAGTCCCCTGACCTAAACATCATTAAAAATCTGTGGATAGACCTCTAAAGAGCAGTGCATGCAAGATGGCCCAATAATCTCACAGAGCTAGAAGCCTTTTGCAGGAAGATTGGGTGAAAATCCCCCAAATAGAATTAAAAGACTCTTAGCTGGTTACAAAGTCTTTTCTTTTTTTGTTATTTTAAACTCTGAAAGATTGAAAAAAAAGTAATCTTTAACTTTTGGCCTTTTGGAAATCAGGTCATCTTTTACTTACTAAGCTATAGGCTACAATAAACTAAATTTTGACCAGGGGTGCCCAAACTTTTGCATGCAACTGTATGTATCATTGTGTGTTTATGTGAATTGTATTTATATATATGTATTTGTAAAAAACATTTGAATCTTACTCTGATGTCATTCATCGCCTTCCTTTTGCAACAACGACAGACACGTAGTGCCCTCTAGTGGACACTGTCATGTAATACCTCTCTCAGAGCTGCACACACAGTGAGTGTTACCATAGCAACCAGTTATCAACAGGCTCATAGTAAAGTAGTTAGCTGTATCGGTACCAGTTAACTGTCTTTAAGTTAAATTACCCTTTGTTGTAAGAAATGTCTCGAGTTCACGCAGAAAGCGTGATTAAAAGCATTATCCGTCGGATAGTGCAGGAGTGCGCAGAGAGAGGACAGGCGGTGTCCGACACTTTGGTGGCGTTCATGGTCAGTAACGTTGAGCTGCCTGGCAAGCTAACGTTAGCTCACTGACTAGTTAACGGTAGCTAACGCTAGCTGGGTGTTAATACTTAATAGTTCCATGCTGTGAGGCTATAATGAATTCTTAAACTTTCTTCATGTCAAACTCCATTTTGGAAACTATCTAACACTACTGCTTTATATCTATTATATTTATGTATTTTATATGTATTTTGTCTTTTAAAATATTTTCAGGCGAAAGCTGTTGTGCTGGACCCAAGAAATGGCTTTCATGTTGATCGAACATTGACCAAACAAGACATCCAGAACCTTGAAGAGGTGAGTCACTATATGAGACTTTATAAAACAGGCTACAGCTAATATTTGTGAATGTAATGAGTTTGTTACCTGAATACCAGTAAGGAAAATATAATTTTATATTTCCATTAAATGCTAGGGTTGTAGCAGGGATTTAGAAACAATAACACATGATGTGCAGTATTTTAATTGTGGAATATAAAATATGATAATAATAATATACAGATTTAATTTATTTAAAATATTGCGCAGTTGGAAATTGCACAGGAATGTTTTTTAATACTGACCCTCAAACAACACTTCCTCTAATGTCTGTCTGCAATGTTTCTTACAGCTGTGCCTGGATAAACTGATGGCAAAGTGCAGCCCATCCCTTGACACAATCAAAATGCAAGTGTATTTTGACATGAATTACACCTCCAGACGTAAGTGTTGCTGTAGGAAATGACATATTATTTCCCCTTCTTTCTAAAATGAGGAATACACAGAATTCTTTTTAGCATGGAATCCTAAGTGATTAATGTTTTGTCATTACAAATGTAGTTTTTGGTGCATATGTTAGCCACTCTAATTTTCATTATCAATAATCATTACCGCTCAAAGTGTCTGTTATTTGTTTGATTAATCTACTATGTATAAAATGTCAGAAAATAGTGAGAGATAATCATGAATTATCAAAGCCCAATCTGTAAATTCCTTCATTTGTCTAGTCAACCTTCTGAAATCCACTATTCCATTTTAGTGCAGAAAAAAAACAGTAAATCCTTACTTTGTAGAAACTATCAGACAATATTTGATGTTGTCCTTGACAATTAACCAGGACATATGATTGGTTATCAAAAATGTTGATTAATTTTCTGTCCATAAATGCCTTATATCTTCTTAGAGAGGATTATTATTCCTTGTCTACGTGCCTTTAAAGGGAGGGTGAGCAATGTTGAAAGTATCAAATATCACAGTGTTTTTTTTACCAAATACCTTGACTTTGATCATGATGCTGCACTTTCCAATAAAGCATATTGACTTTGGTATGCTACAGGAATGTCTGGCAGATGCCAAAAACAAGGTTGAAAACATTTTTATTTTATTTGAAATGAGGCTCTGACAAAAAGGATATTTTTAGTATTGAACAGGTACTGCTAAATCTTGGATTTATGGCATTTCACATCAACTACAATGTAATCCTTAAATGATGAGGTCATAGAGCTGGTTCAGTTTATTTAATATCTTCAGAGTATTGTTAAGATTTTACTTATGCTCAGTTTGCAGACACTAAACCTCTCATGCTTGCCTTCATTTGGTTATGTTTGTGCAGGTGAGTTTTTTGAGGAAATCCACCAGGTGGTGGAGTCCAGGCTGAGTGCAGTGAGCAGAGAGATCACTGACAGCAGAGTGAAGACACGGGAGGAATTAGACGCTCTGTACCGTAAAATCATCACCTATATCCAGCTGCGCTCTGGCATGGGCTCACCGACAGATGTCACCAGTGTGCAAGAGGCTGCAGGTAAAGGGCAATGCCGCCCATTTTAACAACTAACAAATGATGTTTCAGTGCCTCAGGCAGCACAAGCTGCCTCTGTGAACTGTACTAGCCTCAAGTTTATCAATCAACCAGCGAACTTAACACTTTGAGCTGCCTCTGAAAATAAATGAGGTTCTTTGTGTTAAAATGTGTCGTTTTCACTTTTTTACATGCTAGCTTTTCTAACAAGCATGAACCCAACTGCAGACTTGTTTGGATGCAACAGCTTACACAAAAAACATATGGTTAATGATCCTGAGTGAACTGTAGAATTGTAGTCTGGATTTCTAATCTTCTTCTCTTGTCCCAGCTGCTCTGCAGAGCGTCTTCCCTCAGACTGAACTGGGAACCTTCATGGTGCTCTTAAAGAGGGACAAAGAGCAGCAGCTTAGAGAGCTCACCATGACTGTCACAGGGATCCAACTCTTCAACAAAGCCAGCAAGAAGGGAGCCAAGGAGACTGACATCCAAGAACTAAGTACAGTACACCAGGCAACTGATTAAAAAAAAGAAAGAAAAAAAAGCATGTTACATTACAGACAATAATGTGCCGTTTTTAAAGATAAGGCACATTAGTTTGACACATAAGGCAGAATATTACTTTTTATATGATATAATATAATATGATCATGCACTGCGATTCATTTGGTTAACATGCCACTTCCTTTTACATTCTCTCCACAGTGCCTGCAATTCTTAGTGAAACTCTTCCAGTCACCAGTAAGAGGTTAGAAAAAGAGCTGAGCGTGTCACAGACTTTGGCGTGGAAATACACAGCAGTGCTGGAGAAGCTAACAAAGCCTGACAGTCAGCCTGGAGACCATGATGTGCCCATTGTCCTGCTCAGGCAGGCTCTGTACAATGTCAGGCAGCATGAAGTGTTCCTGAAAATGTTACTGGTGAGGTAACACTAAATTACACTTTGTGTCAATATGGTATTCTCATGTAGCTTACATTTGACACTATTATAATGTGAAGTCATTTTTTAGCTTATTTTTTATATACTTTATTAATCCCCGAGGGGAAATCCCCGTAGTGATGGCCGAATGAAGCCTCATGAAGCATTTCCTTTATTTTCTGAGCCCAATAGATGGCGCTTTTTGTTCAACAAAAGGTTGAAAGCACACTGAATTGCTATTCTTTGAGCCTCTCTCTTTAAATAAAGAGCGCCATCCAGTGGGCTCGAAAATGAAGAAAATGCTTCATGAGGCTTCATGAGGCTTCCATGAGGTCATCACTAGTATTTTGTAAAAGAAGACAGGTGAATTAATCTATTATGTCTATGAGTGACATGTATGGTAAAAATGAATATGTGTTTTCCCTTCACCACCAGGCTGATGCATGTTTATGTGCCAAGCATGTTGAAATCCTGCAGGATGAGTTCTCATCTCAGATAAAGCTGCTGAAACAAACTGTGCAGTCAAAGACAGCTGTGCACACTGCACAAGTTTTTGTAAGTGTCACTGCTGTTATGTCGCTACTGTTATTATGTCTTGGAGGAAAACTGTTAATTCTACAGCTTGATTTTATCATTTTTCATATTGTCTTTCAGCCACTGTTCAAGTCCCTGTCAAAGGTGTGGTGTGGACTTCAGGATGAGGCTGAGCTGCTCAACATCCTCAGTAACATCATGCACAACCTGCAGCCTTTCATTGCCTCTCAGGCCGAGCTTTTTTCGGAGGCTTATTTGGACGGTCTGGTGGATACGTCTGAGGTGAAGACAGACCAACAGAGAATGACTGAATCGTCAGGTATATCTGATGTCAACAACAGTGAAAGTCCATCTTCCACAAATACAAATAAATTTTGTATACAAAACTGGACTCCAATGAGAAAACATCTCTGTACCAAGTTTACATACTGTAGGTGCTCAGCTTAAATGCGTTTGTTCTTCTTATTATGCCTTATAGATGAGCATATTATTCCAGCTGAGATGAAGAGGCAGGAATGGCTCCTGCCTGAAACAACAGCCAGTTTTAATGAGCTGCCACTACAGTATGATGGAGTCTGTGGCTACACGCTTGTGAACAGAGATGGGCTTCTACTTCCAGGTACCGTTCTCATTACACACCAATGTGTTATTAGTATTTTGATGTTCCTTCTTTGTCAAATAGGGGCATATGGGTAAAGGCCTTAGCATGCTTCAAATAAACGTGGGTACATGGAGTATCTATTCTGGATTACTCTGACATGGCACAAAAGTCATAGCCCCCTCCTGACTGCATTCCATTACCTCTCCACTCTCCATTAATCCGTCCATCCGTCATCATCATTTTTGAGCCCACTAGATGGCGCTTTTTGTTCACCAAAAGGTTGAAAGCACACTGAATTGCTGTTCTTTGAGCCTCTCTCTTTAAACCAAGTGCACCATCTTGTGGTCTCATAAAATTAAGAAAATGCTTCATTAGATTTCATTTGGCCATCACTAGATTTCAGGGTGCAAAATCATGGCGTACATACACGACCTAAGGGAGCCAACATGTCCATATCCCCTGCCATGTCCTCAGGTTCATTTTGAGATTTCCAGGCCAGATAAGATATATAATACTTCCAGTGTCTTCTGGGTCACCCCTGGTGTCTCCTCCTGGTCCACACTTTCTTGGCATGGAAAAGTAAATCCAGATTAGGAGGCACATGAGTCAGATGCCTGAACCATAACAACTGGCTCATTTCAGTGTGAAGCAGCGGAAGTTCTGTTTACACACAAGGGGTGTCATTGTCACGACAATAGCGGACCTGTTAAAACCATGGATTTATTAATGTGTGTAAAAAACGTCACGATATGAACAGTGGTTTCTGCCTCATAACAAGCCAGAACTCAGCCATGAATAGAGTGGCCTAGTGACCTTTTGACTAGTAACCGGACTGCAGTGTTTCTAGCCCCACCTTTTAGTACCAGATCTGTGTGCTAGGTACCCCAACAGAGGGGTGACCAAATATGGTCATGGTAAGGAACAGTTCCATTCATATCATCCACAACTTTTCACAGTGGAACTGAACTATACGGTACCATACTGCTCGGTGGAAATGGGGCTATATTAATACCAGGTCTAAATGTATTCTGGTTAAACCTAACCTCATAAAACACCCCAAGATAAAAGGCCGTGTGTACACTGGATGGGCAGACTCTCATATTAACCCCTTCTTTCCAGTGCCCTGGCACGGGCTTTCCTAGGAGGGCTGAGTAGTGTGACCCAGGTCATTTGAGTACACCCCTCAGACATTTTTTTAAAAAACAGGAACCACCACCCTGGCTGCTATACCCTGATTTTTCCTCAAGAATTCTATATCTTTATCGTCGTGACGTGTCTTTTTCGTCTCAACACAGTAAATCCTACAAATCTGGATAACGCATTTTACATACATTTTAATCTCTACTTGAAGGCGTTTATGGTGGTGCATTTGATTGAACACACAAAAAGGGAAGTCGTGACTGTAGCGGTAGAAAGTTTCACATCCCCACACATCTGGCCACTCGCCTGCATAAACGGGGCCTGATTGTTGGATTGTCTGTTTTGGTATGTTGTCACAATTGTCAAACACAGTCCTGCAGAATTCTGTTGTCAGAAAGAACATGTCAGATGCTGTAAGATGATCCAGCAAGCACTTCATTTGGAGCATACTGACACCTTACAAATTAACAAATGTGTTTGGGACACATTAACCAATTCTTTTCCATGTATATGTAAGATGTCATAGTAATATCATTTATTTCCTTCAATCTTATTCACAATATGTAAATTCTGATTTAAAGGACACTCCATGATTAGCATTCTTAATCCAGTGTCTTAAGTCTATGCAGTTTGGAATATTAGGCATTTTTGTTGCAGGTAATCCACACATTGGAGTCCTCAAACATGAGGAGAAGCTCTATGTTTTTAGTTCCAAAGAAGCTGCGTTAAAATTTGCCTCCAGTCCAGACGACTTCATTGCAGAGGTGGCAGAGAAAGCCAAGCATTCCCCTGAGCTCATCCAGCTCCTCAAACTCCACCAGCAGTTTTCCTGCGTCAGTCCTTACCCAGAGGTTAGCAGCTTCATCCATGCTGAGTATTGTAAAAGCACATCCTTCAGTTACACAGCTTCACCACACAAGTCTCAAAGTTTGGACACCTTTAATATACAGTATGTGTAGATAGTTGTGAGAATAGAATACATTCTATTATGGCAATCACATGTAAGATTCATTATTTTTATTAATGCATTATATAGTTTATTACTACATCTAGTGGTAGTATTGAGAATGATACTGTGGGTGAAAACACTGCTTGACACTACCTGCCCAGGAACTCACACTCCAGACTCACTTGTTGCCTTGTGGTCTTGCAGATGCAGCCAGGAGAGAGTTTATTGGTAAAACCCATCACCAAGTGTGAGGGCGGCACACAGACAGACCTTCACCCAGTGGAGACAAACATCGTCAAGTCATATGAGTGGAATGAGTGGGAGCTGCGGAGAAAAGCCATCAAACTGGTGAGCCACAATTCACTAGATGCAGGTCTGTGTGATGTGAATGAATCATTGTCACTGTGCATTATTGGGAAGAAAACCTTTTCAACTTGTCTAACATCATACATCACATCAGGAACTGTATTTATTGGCACTATATTAAGTGTAAAAGAGAAGAGAAATGTTTTTAAATGTGATAATTCCAGGCAGATCTGCGGACCAAAGTGACACACTCAGTGCAGACTGACCTCAGCCACATGAGACGGGAAAACGTCACTCAGACCTGGCTGCCCAAGAACGCTGCCTGTCAAAGCAAAAGAGCCAGTGAGAGCAACGTGCCCAAACCTCAGACCTACCTGGCTGGTCTGAGGGGACAAAGAGACGGACACGTGGTCAAAACAAACCTGACCAGGTCTGTGGATGAAAAATGAAGGTGTCCAAACAACAGTTAATGCAAGTACATTGTTGTCTTTATTCATCTTGGTCCTGTGTTACTTGACGAGGACAGGAGGAGTCTGCACACAAGGACAAAAGCAGGGCCAGATAAAGTAGCAGTTTCAAGTGTTCCTCACATGCATTTATTGAATTGTATGCATTATGTATGTAAAGCTATGGCTTTCAGAGCTTTTCAAAATGGCTGATTTAAATGCAAGCACATTAATAGGTTAGTAAGCTGTTCAGGCTGGAACGTAAGACAAGCACAACCCCCATAACCTAGTCAAAAATCCTGTACAAGTTTGGCCCAATGCATTATGGTTAGAAACACTGAATGTAAACATTGTTTACAAGAAAACTTCAAGGTAACATTAGGAAGACCACTGCATGTTGTGATGAATTCATGAAGAAAACTGTTTTTCATGCCTCCATGGTGAACAGAGAATCCGAAAATAGCAATGAACAGTGGTTACCGGCGATCACATTTAGCCTAATAACAGCAAAACTATATCAAAACATCTGTTTCCAAACTCTCACACAACTCGTGTAGAATAATCCTTGTCACATTTATCAAGTCATAGCTCAGTACTTCCCAAACACATGCCTTTTCACTAAAATGCCTGAGAGTAGCGTACCCTGGGCGTGCCTGAGCACTAGCATGCATATGAGCTCTGCTTGAGCAAATTTCAAACGACACACATGCCTAGGCACATTACTTGGCTGCGCATGAGACTGTTTGCACTGATGTGTTTTAAATAGTTAAGGTGTGAAAATGCACAAGTTTGGGAAGTCCCAAGTCTGAGTTTACAACTGAATAAATGAGACTTATTATTATACTGCACAAGTTGTGTGAGGGTTTGTAAACAGACATGTCCTCCATTTACTTCAATCCATGAAGAACGTTTGCCTTTTTTGGATTCTCTGTCAACATGGAGGCATGCGAGAAAAACAATATCTTCATGAATCATTTCCTAAATAAATTATTGTGTCCAAATGGACATTCTCACTATTTTTACTGAAAATGAGTGGTGCTAACAAGGCTCGGAGCTAACAAGCAACAGCCTGGTCATTCTGTTTCCATTAAGCAAGTAGAGATACAGAGGTATCTGCTGATGTACCACCAGACTAGATAGTAGCATCTTTCCTCAGGCTGTAAGACTCCTCAACTCCTCCCCTGTACTCCATCATAAAACATAGTTTTAACATCCAACATGTTCTGTTTATTTCTTGTGTAGCATAAAGGGAATACATCTCCCATATCTGTGCGCAACCCTGCTATGTAGAATGACAGAAAATGAACCTTGTAAATTAGGCTCTAAGGTCTTGATGACATCATCAGGGTTATTTTGTCAGAATTCACGAAGCTCCATTTCACAAAGTTTTCAGATTTTTTTCTTTTTTTAATTAATCTTTTTTCCCCTAATTTCTCCTTGAGTGTTGTATAGTTGTATGGTTTTATCTCCTTGCTGTCTTTGTATCTGCTCCTGAATTGTAAAGCACTTGCACTGCATTCTGCAGCTATATAAATAAAAGTTCATTCATTCATTACTCCAGGGCGACATTAAAGACCCTATACAGTCCACATCATGAGGACTCAACTGCAGGTTATCATATTTAAATGTCATTTCTCAAGGAGAGATCATGTTTGAACTGTATGTTGTGTGTGTGTGTGTGTGTGTGTGTGTGAAGGCTGTTTTAATATTAGACTGTACAAATTTAGCCCTTGTGCTGGGGGCGCTGTTTTCTGTAACGTGATAGCGAGACTGCCAGAAGCTGACTTTGACAGGAGACATACACTGGTTATCACAGTCAGTGACTAATAAACAGTTATGTTCCTATAAAGTGAGCAAGATGAGTGAGGGAGCAGAGCTGCTGCTGCAGCTGAAACACAGAGCTGGCTGCTGTATAGACGAAGCCGAAGCAAAGCTCCACAGCCTCAGTAAGGACATATGGAGCTGTCCGGAGCTGGCTTATGAGGAAAGCAAGTCTCATGACAGACTGGTAGCGTTTTTCAGTCAGGAAGAAGGCTGGAAGGTGGACGCTCACTTCAAACTGCACACTGCATTTCGAGCCACTTGGAGAAGTGGAGGCAGCGGGCGGGGCGACGTGGTCAACGTGGGTTTCCTGTGTGAGTACGACGCCCTGCCTGGTATTGGACACGCGTGTGGACACAACTTGATAGCTGAGGTTGGAGCTGCTGCGGCTCTGGGGCTCAAAGCTGTGCTGGAAAACACGCACAGTGAGCTTCCTGTGCAGGTGCAGGTAGGACCACTGCACAATATGTTATAATGAAGTAGGTACATACTTTTATGAAGTTCACGTCAAGTTTGGAACAGTTTTCTTTTTTATGAATGAAGTCTTGTAGTTTGATTTGTTTGGACAGGTCAATTTAACATCCACCTGAAGATATTAGTCTCTTCTGAAGAAGCAGGGCAGGGAGACAAAACAGGGAACTGAGACAAAACAGTAATTACAGTGCAGTCCATGTTGTTAAACTTGGGCTGTCGCTGTTAAAAGAGTTGACAGCTTTAATTTGAGGCTGTTTCCATCAGATGAACAGCCATTTTAGTACATAGTTCCCCCATTTTAGGGCACCAGAAGGAGTTGGGAAAATTAAAATAACCTGAAAATTAAGTCACCACTTTTAATATTTGGTGTAAAGGGTCAATTCAGATTGTTTTTGAAGGGGGGTTGTTTGAGGTACCTATCTATAGTCTGTATTACCTACAGTAGATGTCAGTCAGCACACCCCCAGATTGGAGAAGCAGACAGGAGTACCGACATGTAAACTCAGCAATGAACTGCTGTGGATGGGGGCAACTGGATTTTTTGCCACTCAGTTTAGCTATATTAAAAATATTTTCACTCCTTTACCTTGCTGTCAGACAGCCCTTTCCTTTGGCACTACATTTCTTAACAGTAGAACCTCCACACTTCTCTGTATTTTTTCCCATTTAGTCTCTGTCTTCAAAAATTCTTCTTTTGTATACTCTGGTTAATGAAGGTATCCGATTGTCTCCACAGTGAATGGCATTTTGTTGTTGTCATAATCACTCAGTAATACCATGTGCAGCACAGTTGAGCTTATGTGTAGGAATATGGAAGTTCTACAGCTGAGAAAATGAAGTGCCAAAAGAAAGAGGCCATCTGACAGCAATAGGGTTGCGACCTTTCACATTTGAACCGACACCATGAATACAGTACCAGTACCCAACGGTACCTTTTTACCTTTACCCTACCTTTACTCTTTCTGTTATAACAAAAATGTCATTTCTGTAGTCTGAACAAGCTACAGTCAACAAGTGATTCTGCTTCTCTGCTTTTTTTCTAATCACACAGAAAGCTAAGTCTCTATCTGACTGCTTGCTTGTATGTATGTATGTGTGTGTGTGTGTGTGTGTGTGTGTGTATGTTTGTGTGTGTGTGCATGTGTCCGCTTGCCTCTCTCACTCTCTGTTTAGACACAACTGACAAATAGCCAATGTGGAATAAGAAAGTTATTTAAAAAAACACAATCATAAACAGCAGTGATACTCTGCTATTTCCAGAGAAAATAGGACAGAAAACAGACCAGATAGACTGAAACTATCAGCACCGCAGCAAAAGTTTCAGCTTGCTCCTTGGTCGGCCAGCTTCCCTGCTTTTAGCATTTTCCTGTCCACTCCTGTCTGAACCTGTGGGCTCTGCAGAGCTCCATACTCTACGCCACTAAGTGCCCAGATGCTGGCCACAGAGTTTCCCATAAATTGGTAGTAGTACCAACGTACCCTCGGTACCCCTAAAACTACAGAGTTTGTTACCCCACAGACAGCAAGGTAAAGCAGTAAAAATATACACTTAAATATGCACTATGTACTTTTAAATTGATAGTTGTTTTTTTTAGGTGGCTGGAATACGTTTGGTTGCCGCCATCCACAGCAGTACATTACTTTGCCTTTGTGGCAGTACTCCTCCCTGCTTCTCCAAATGGAGATACACTGGCTATGGATAAGCCTCCTTCATACAACTCCACGGAATCTAAACTATCTAAACTATCCCTTTGTTCCTACAAACCATTGCTTTGCAGTCAGTAACTGTCCGAAATTTCTGATCAGCAGACATCAGCAGACACTTGGTATGTTCCCTGACAGGGTTCTGCCAGCTTTTCGTCTTGCTTGTTTTTGGGGGAGGTTCGCTTTACGTCTGGTTCTCAGAAAGTGGATTAAGCTCTCAGGTAACTGACAGTTTGGAACATCCAACAGGCCATTAAAACTCCTGGGTTGTCCTCTCTTTATGTTTAAGCCTGCTGTTTTGCTGCGTTGGGAGACTGTTAAAAAAAGGAACTACTGTATGAATCCTACACCATTTACCCAGTATCAATGACACCTTCAGTACATAAAGAAAAAAGTTCCAAGACAGATTTCCTGTTGTATAGGCAGCAATTGATATCCATACATTGTTATGCAGTATTAAAAACAAATGGTGACTTGAAACTTGTTTGAGTCAGAGCACTGATGTGAAGAGTTTACCTTTTTGTGACAGTTATGTTGTCATTTGGTACTATTCCAACACATTCACTGCTGACTGCTGAAAAACATACATGGTGTGTTCTAAACCAGGCCCAAGATATACATCCAGCAAACATGAACATTCTGCAGTGGTGTGAACTTTCTGTGCTACAAAGGTTGCTGTACAGCAGCTATGTCTCTTGCTGAACTTACAGTATCTCCACAGGTGACGGTGCTGGGAACACCAGCCGAGGAGGATGGTGGAGGTAAAATTGACATGATAAGGGAGGGAGCATTTGAGGGCCTGGATGTGGTGTTTATGGCTCACCCATCAAAAGAGGATGCCCCATACCTACCCTGTGTGGCTGTGCAAGAGTAAGTTTTATTAAAGTACACATTTCCTGTATGAATATGTTTCAGCTTTCTGTTTGTTGTGTATGCTGCATGCAGTGTTCTTTACTGGAGGCCTGGTAATGTGATATGGTATGTTGTGCTTTATGTAAATTCTTTGTTATATATGCCATTAGTATGGTGGCCCACTGTGGTGTAGTGGTAGATAATGAGGTGGGTGCAGGGGCGTAAATATAGAAAGTGCAGGCAGTGCGGTAGCGCTGGGGCTGGTGTTTAAGGAAGAACTCACATTAAATCAAAAATGGTGTGATTTTCTACATATGCCCTCAAAAAGGCCAACCTATCTCCATCATGGTTTTCTGTCTTTGTAAAATAGTATCAGTCTATAACAAAATTATATGCTTATTCAACATAAACCATAAAAAACTATAGTTTAACTAATGTCATATGTATGTTTATCTTGTCCAATATCAGGTCTCTGTTTAATCATGTAATGAGATGATGCAATTTACAGTAGCTAGTTTCGGTGCAAAATCTCCAAAACAGACAAGCGGGGCACGTGTGCAAGCTGATATAAAGCAGCAGTAAGACACACTGTTGGTAAAATGTATATATGCCTAAAACCTTGTGTGTAGACAAGCAGTCTGAGAAAAAAAAAACCACTTGTCTCTTATGTCAGTCACTGTAAGGCATCCTGTGGAGATTTCTTGCAAACAAACAAGAGTTATGTTCTCATTAATTGTTTCTCACTTAAAGGAAAACTTTGGCATTTTTCAATCTGGACCCCATTTTCCTGTGTAAATTGGTCAAAGAGAGTGATGTGAACAACAATCTTTGACACTAGTCCATTATTGAGCAAGTGGGCAGCGGCCGGCTGCTGTGGAACGAGCTGCAATGGAGGCACATGGGGCAATTGAACATCATCACTGTATATCCATTAAAAGAGGTTATTTTTGCCACAGAGCAGCTCAGATTGTTATTATAAGTGTCTGAAGTGTCTCTTTACCTTTCACCTGATCCGGTCTCTTATTTCCTCATAAAGCAGAAGTCTTGTTTTGAAATGTCACAAGATGTCATGCAGGAACACAGAACCAACCAGAAGCAGAGAGACTGAAGTGTGTTTTGTCTTGTGTTTTCCAGAGTAACTATAAAGTATCGAGGTAAGGCGTCTCATGCCTCAGCCTACCCCTGGGAGGGAATCAATGCGTTGGATGCAGCGGTGCTGTGCTACAACAACCTGTCTGTGCTCAGACAGCAGATGAAGCCAGACTGGAGAGTTCATGGTAAACAACTGATGAACCTCTACACTCATGTGCTGTTGTGAGGAGTTTAGTTAGCTCTGATTAAATCATGTTGTGTTGTGCAGGTATCATAAAGCATGGTGGAGAGAAACCAAACATCATCCCTGCCTACACTGAGCTGGAGTACTACCTGAGAACCCCCTCACGTGCTGAGCTTTCTGTCCTGAAGTCAAAAGCTGAGATGTGTTTTAGATCAGCTGCTGTGGCCACCGGCTGTGATGTAAACAAACAAACAAACAAACCCACAATATGATGATTTTCCAGAACCGCATTCCTAAACTGTGTTCTAATAATAAATGTTTAAACCTGCCTTAAACTTTAAACTGCAGCTAAGCTAATGACTCTGATAATAAGGTTGAAAACAACATTTCATTGAAAGGATTTATAGTTCAGTCCTACTGAAAGTCATGGAGCTTTATCTCTCTTTCAGGTTGAAGTAGAGTTTGCAAGAAATACATATGACAACATACTGCGTAATGCTACACTGGAGGATCTGTTTGAGATAAACGGCACAGCTCTGGGAATGGACTTCACCACGGATGAAGATGTTCTCAAGAATGAATCTGGTACGTGTATGTCTTCTGTGTCCCAGAACAGCTCTGTAACAGACACACAGTGCTCACAGGAAAGTCATGTTTCGTGACCTTCTTATACACTTTACAGTGTACTTACTTCCCGTATAAAGGTAGTTATTTTAACTGAAAACAGGATCTTTTTCTGCATATAATCAATTAGTTTGGGTGCATAAACCCAACCGTGCCACCAACATGTAATTTAACACATTATGGATCACAAATATGTAATGCGGTGTTAAGAGTCATTTCACATATTCCTGTGAACTCATGTTAGAGTTGACCGTGAAGAGGCAAGAGGCTGTGTCACAAATTGCCCTAAAAAAAAAATTAAGACACATACTCTGAATGCGCAGAATACATGTCCAAAAAATGTTCCTAAAACTCAAATAATTTCAGCACACACCCCGTCTAAATCAGAATGAGGCCTAATTTGGAATATCAGAATAACAGAATCTGCTGTTGACATGACCTGCATCAAATTCAGAATACTGTCATATTCGGAATAATAGTGGAATATTAGCGTGCATGTAAACATAGTTACTGATGTCCCTGTTGACCCCCTCTGTCTTCTCTCCTCTCTGTTATCTACAGGCTCCACAGACTTTGGCAATGTGTCATATGTAGTTCCAGGCATCCACCCATACTTTTACATTGGTTCTAATGCTTTGAACCACACAGAGGAATACACTGTTGCTGCTGGTATGTGACCTACCCTGCCTCACAAACACATAATACTTTAGTCTTTGAATGGTTAATTCCTCCAACTTGACATTTGAGATCAAAGATATTGAAATATTGCCATATTGCCTTGTGCTAGTTTGTTGTTGACTAATGCTGATATGTGTTTGTATGGCTGACAGCGTGTTTGTGACTCTGTTTCAGGTGATGACAGAGCTCAGTTCTACACCCTGAGGACTGCCAAGGCTCTGGCCATGACGGCCCTGGATGTGCTGCTGCGTCCAGAGCTGCTGCAGAGGGTGAAGCAGGAGTTCACTGAGGCCACACTGAAGGAGGACAGGATGCTTACGGGGGAGCACACAGAGCAGACTGCAAAACACTGATGATCTCCCCTGCAGTCTCAGGAGGACTTATTCCTGTTGTTAAATGGAGCATCCAGGGTTGAAGAATACTCTGCTGCAGCTTAGCCTTTTTTATCACAATTCTTTAATTTTGACCAGGTGAATCTGAATACTGCAGGGTGGAGGCGTGCAGCTACTGTGGACTCTGCTTTTACGCAAAATGACAATTTGTTTTACTCTGTGTTTTGATGTGTTGATATTGTTGCTCTGACATAAATGTACTTTCACTAACAAGTTAAAACACAGAACACAGTCATGGTGAATCATGAGAAAACCATATTGTTCAGCTATTGTTGTTATGGGTTCTGGGTTGGGTTTAAAAGAGTAATGCACATTAAGACAAAAATAAGTATACAGTACCTTAAATGCATTCTTACCCTGAAACATGCCAGTCATGTGACACCGTGCTATGTCCGTTTATATACAGTCTAGGAGCTGCACACAAGGTAATAATATCATGGTGATAATATGATAACAATAAACAAAAGTGAATAGCTACCCCATTATATGCAAGTGGCCTTACACATATGAACAATACCAAGGAGTAAAGATGACAGCCATGGATCAGAGGTCATACTGTAAGTTCACATGAGGCCAAGCCAGGCCCCCTGGACAGTGTACTGGGTTTTGAAGCCAATTTTTGTAGTGACCAAACAGTGGAATTACTATTTCTGGTTCCATCACTTGATGCCATTGGGCCCAAAATGCCTCTCTCCCATATTTACCTTTTGAATGGTATGCCTGTAAATCAGTGGATGCATTTTTTATAAGCATCATAACCTCAGTGAAATGACTGGGGAAAGCCCCATCAGAATTGGATCCATTGGGTCCGATTACATTTAGAAAGTCTAGGAGAGCTGCACAAGTAATGTTACATTGTTAAGTCCCCATTCCAATAAGCAGAGCGCTAAAGCGGAAGTAAGCTACCAGGCCAGTAGAGGTCTCTAGTGTACCTGCTCTATGGGCCCAATGATGAGGAAGCAGTGCCAAAAATCTGGGTAATTTTCATAGATTGAAAAAATTAACTAAATAACGGATCCCAAGATGGTGCCTATTCATCTCAGTGATAGAAAGTTGAGTTTACAAGAACTTATCTTGAAATTATAAGATAAGGTGTCTTTTTTTAAATTCTGTGCCCTGGCATAGGCTATCCCCAGGAGGGCTGAGTAGTGTGATACCCAGGTCATCTGAGTATGCCCTTTGGGCCCTTTTTAGATGAACCGGAACCACCACCCTGTCTTACCAGACCCCAGTCTCTCTTCAAGAATTTATTTATTGTAGTCTTGGTGTGTGTTTTTATTCACAACACAATGAATCTTACAAATCTGGATAATGGTGTACGCACTTCTAGTCTCTCCTTTAAGGCAGTCATGGTGGTGGTTGTGCACACGAAAAGAGACGTTGTTGACTGTATTGGTAGAGAGAAGAGTTCAAATGGTGCCTATTTACACCTCTGCAATTCTGGCCGCATGTTTGCCTCAACTGGACCTGATTGTTGGATTGTCTCTTCTGGTATGTTACAAGACACAGCCCTTCCCAATTCTACCGTCAGAAAGAGCATTTCAAAATGGCAGAAAAAGCAAAGCATTCCCCTGAACTCATCCAGCTCCTAAAACTCCACCAGCAGTTTTCCTGCATCAGTCCTTACCCAGAGGTTAGTACTCTCAAAGCACATCCTTCAGTTACACAGCCACAGCTTCACCACACAAGTCCCAAAGTTTGGACACCTTTAATATACAGTATGTGTAGATAGCTGTGAGCACACACACTTAGAATACATTGTATTATAGCAATCACTAAGATTCATTATTCTTATTTATGCATTTATATAGATTATTACTACATCTAGTATTGGTAAAAAAAGAACATCACCAAGTGTGAGGGCGGCACACAGACAGACCTTCACCCAGTGGAGACAAACATCGTCAAGTCATATGAGTGGAATGAGTGGGAGCTGCGGAGAAAAGCCATCAAACTGGTGAGCCACAATTCACTAGATGCAGGTCTGTGTGATGTGAATGAATCATTGTCACTGTGCATTATTGGGAAGAAAACCTTTTCAACTTGTCTAACATCATACATCACATCAGGAACTGTATTTATTGGCACTATATTAAGTGTAAAAGAGAAGAGAAATGTTTTTAAATGTGATAATTCCAGGCAGATCTGCGGACCAAAGTGACACACTCAGTGCAGACTGACCTCAGCCACATGAGACGGGAAAACGTCACTCAGACCTGGCTGCCCAAGAACGCTGCCTGTCAAAGCAAAAGAGAGCAACGTGCCCAAACCTCAGACCTACCTGGCTGGTCTGAGGGGACAAAGAGACGGACACATGGTCAAAACAAACCTGACCAGGTCTGTGGATGAATAAATCATTTTATGTTGCTTAAAATAAAAAATAATGTAAGCATGTTATTGTTTCATTCATCTTGGTCCTGTGTTACTTGATGAGGACTGGAGGAGTCTGTACACAGCTGTATAAATGACAAAGCAGGACCAGATAATACACATGCATTTCTTTAATTGTATACATTTACAAATACGTTTGCACAGCTGTGGCCTTCAGAGCTTTTTAAAATTGGCTGTTTCAAATGTATGCACATTAAAGGTCCATTATTAAGGATTTAGGAGATAAATTGGCAGAAATGGAATATCAAAAATAATATGGGGTGAGTTCAGGGTGAGTGGGACAGTTTTCGGTTTTCTGCATTGTGTGAGATTTCTGGCTATGGATTTCAAAAAATAACCCAACATATGATACATTTCTGTAATGCTAAAGATGTTACCTATCCATTTGAGGAGGAAAGATCTGATTATATTCCACGGATGCATGGCATACCTTTTTGTGAACTGACCAAAAATCGTTTTTGTGTGTGAAATTTGGGTGAGTGGGACACCACATCTGATCACTGATTTAGCAACAAGGTTGACTTCGCTGCAGAGGAGAAGCTGTACCAGCTTAGATAAGGGGTCACAAGCCAAAAAGATTGGAAACCACTGGTTTAATTTTTAATACATTGTATTTAGTAACTACAGCTGTTAAATAAATGTATTGCAGTTAAACTGTTTTCTGTACAATATTTTTAAGTAGAGTTATTATATGCACAGCATGCAGGTTATGAAACAACAGTCTACATGAAGAAAAAAGTAACACCTGCGCACTTACTCTACGTCAGTTCCATCGACATGTTTCAATGCTAAAAACACTGACTTAATGTACATTGGGTTTAAACACCCTTCTAATAATAAAGACTTCTTTTTGTTTTGCCTCTAACATAGGTGATGTCGACTGATATATTGGCTGATGAATTAAATATGTTGTATCAATTTAGTTATATATCTAATAATTTATAGTATAGCCTTTGTATCACTGTTTTTCCTCTATATACTTTTTTGTTTGTACTTTATTAAATTGTTTACTGTAGTTTTGGTTTAGCTGGGTAACCACACCTGTGGGTGTGTGTTTCAGTAGCTCTAAATAATACATCTTGAATTATTTTAAGTCCCTATAGGGTTAAACATTTCCAACAATAGCAAATCCTTTCTTGGCTATGAGCTCCTGTAGTTGTTACTTTAACATTCCTTTCACTCCCTTGTCTGGACAATAAAGAGCTTATTTGTTGCACACTTTTTTTTAGAACATAACCACTGGGCCTGGGGAGAATATAAAGTCCTCCTAAGTAAAAAAGGTTTAAGTCTAAGCAAAGCCACCAGTCATCTGTGTTAAGATGAGTTCTAAGTCTTTTTTCATTTTATCAAGTTAAGTCTCAAGTATGACAACATAGTAGGGCTATTAAGTATAAATGTAGTATAATGTAAGTGTAGGTGCAATGTACTTTTAAGTATATGCAAAATATAATTTGAGTTTATGAACAGTGCAATTCAAGTATAATGTAAGTGTATGAGTAGTGTACTGTAAGTATAGGCAAAGTATAATTTGAGTATGTATTAAGTATAAAAATAGTGCAATAGGGCGCCTGACCAAGGCAGCCCCCTCACTCTGACATCTCCCCACTTTGTGCATTTATAGGTCCTGTTTGTGCATGTGTGTGTCTTTTGGACCTGTGTGTTAATGACTAATAAATTTGAATTTCCCCTCAGGGGGATTAATAAAGTATATAAAATTAAAAATTCAAACAATTAGGAATAGTGCAATTGAAGTATAATGCAGGTATAGGAGTAGTGTACTTTAAGTTTACACAAAGAATAATTTGAGTAAATGAATGGTATACTTTTAAGTATACGAATAATATACCGCATCCACAGAGCAGACGAGAGAGACGGCTGGTCACTCTCTTTATAGTCATGACCTTGTCCTGCTGTTGGCTGGTGGCTAAACACACTACCCAAAGGAACGTCCCGAACAAACAAAAATATGAAGAAAATAAGGAAACACAGGCAGAGGGCAGATTCTCTGCAGATACAGACACCACCATACACTGCTCATGGGTCATATAATGACTGAGAGGCATTACTGCGAGTCTATTTATTGTTTTTTTTTTAAATCCTGCATAGTCTACCTTTAAGTAAATGATTTTTATACTTCTTCTATCACTGGATAAAGCACTTAAAAAGGCACGTTACATCACATTTTCTCCCTAGCATCATTGGAATGATAATATACCTGCTTGCAACACACAAGCAGTGTGAACACCTATCCACTGTTTTTCTTTACATAGGTTTACCTGCCAGTGAAAAAATTTAAACACGGCAACAAAATGTATACATTTTCTGAAACAAAAAAAAAACCAAACAAAACAAAACAAAAAAAAAAAAACAAAGTCCTGCATTTTGAGTCCTCCATATGCTTCCACTATACCTCACAATCAAATATATGTTCAATATTAAAACAAATCAACTACCACTCTGTAAATATTTCTTTGCTTTGGATTAATTTTATTTGGTAAGAAAAGAGCTCAAAGGCAGCAGATTATTCTTTGTTCCTGGACGCTGCATGTAACAACAAGTACAAGTTTCTCTGAGCCTGCTGTGCAGTCAGTGAGCAGGGAGCTCAGAGATGGTCAGCCTGCATCATCAGTGTTTTGCAGACTGCTCTGTGTGCTCCCCCTTCAGCGTCCTGTCCTCCTTCAGTGCGGCCTCAGTGAACTCCTGCTTCACCCTCTGCAGCAGCTCTGGACGCAGCAGCACATCCAGGGCCGTCATGGCCAGAGCCTTGGCAGTCCTCAGGGTGTAGAACTGAGCTCTGTCATCACCTGAAACAGAGTCACATACACACTGTCAGTCGTATATTCTAGCATAAGTCAACAACAAACTAGCAAGAGGCAGTCTTTGAGCATTGGTCACATACCAGCAGCAACAGTGTATTCCTCTGTGTGGTTCAAAGCATTAGAGCCAATGTAAAAGCTTGGATGGATGCCTGGAACTACATATGACACATTACCAAAGTCTGTGGAGCCTGTAGATAACAGAGAGGAGAGAAGACAGAGGGGGTCAACAGGGACATCAGTAACTACGTTTACATGCACGCTAATATTCCACTATTATTCCGAATTTGATACGGGTCATGTCAACAGCAGATTCCTTTTGGATATTCCAAATAAGGCCTTTAGGCCAAAACACACCGGCAGTGTCATATGACGGCGGCGTCATTGACGCGAGTCAAGTGCCGCCCCCAACACACACAAAAAGCGTCGCGCTGCGGGGCGTCAACCGGATTTCTATTGCACACTCCAGTCCGCGAGAGCTGGGAAGTACAAAATAGCGCTTTTTCAAGGGCGGCGACACTGGAAAAATAGGACAATAGCGTAAAGTGCCGTGGTGCGGCACGTCGACGTGTGTCGAGCCGCCGCTGGTGTGGGTTTGTAAATAGAAAATAATGGGGGCGGCTGTTTTGACGTGCGTCGTTCGCCGCCGCTGTGTTTTGGCCTTTATTCTGACTAGCATTTTCCGAATAAGACGTAGGATATGCCGGAATTATTTGAGTATTAGGAGCATTTTTTGGACATGTATACAGCGCATTCAGAATATGCGTCTTGATTGGGTTTTTTAGGGCAGTTTGTGACACACAGCGTTTTGTCTCTTAATGGTCAACTCCAACGTGAGCTTGCAGGAATATGTGAAATGACTCTTAACACCGCATTACGTATTTGTGTTGGTGGCACGGTTGGGTTTAGGTACCAAAACTACTTGATTATATGTAGAAAAATATCCTGTTTTCAGTTGAAATAACTACCCTTATTTATATACAGAAAGTAAGTACACTGTAAAGTGCATAACAACATTATGTAACATGACGTCACTACATAAAGGAGGTAAGTAGATAAAGTTAAAAAAGGTCAACACTGATTTACGGTTTCACACGGGACACACACAGCAACCTCCTGGGTGAAAGTCTGGTGTTTGTTGAGCAGATTTTCTCACTCTTTACACTACCTCTGTTATGGTAATATTAACCACCACCCATTGCATGACAACTTTGAACCAGGGAGTTTGTGTGTCCACCACCACAGAGGATCCAATTTGTCTCTCCACTAGCATTGTTTCTGTGGCAAGTAATTTTAACACATTACATACCACCACCACATAATGTGCTGCTAAGAAGGTTGTGGTCGTGTCACGAGACCAGATTGATTGGCTCTGTCCACTGGAAACAAACCAACTCACCAACAGTTTGTAAGGCTGGTGTAGAGATACGTGGTCAAAAGAAAAGCCCACATTTCTGGTCACAAGGTGAAACACACCTTCTTTTAAACAATATGAAAGACTTGGATATCAACAGGTTTTTGGATATGTGCAAGTATCGAAACACCAACCTTTACGAGAGGGTGGTTGAATTGAATTCGTGTAAACAGCTGACAGGGTTCCCACTCTTTTCTAGAAATTATTTTCCAGGACTTTTCCAGGACGTTTTCAGCTGCTACAGTATGAGTCAAGTTATCGCACGGTACACTTATACATCCCTTGCCCCCCCATGCTTTGAAGAAGTGTTCTTTTCTACAGTTGTACCTTACATTTTGTACATTCACCCAGATTGCTATGTTTATTCCTCACCCGCCCCCATAATAATTTCAAATCTGGACTGTCTTCCTGACATTGTCCCTCACTCCTGTAATTAGAGGACAACAACACACATTTGAAACCATCTATTACTGCTCATACTGGTCACTTTATGTATGAAAGATGCTATACAAAGTAAGACTGGCTTCATACCAGTCATTTAGAAGTGAAGAAGCTTCTTGGATGAGAGGCAAAACATCTTGAAGAAACGCAAGCAAGTACAGTTGCCTACGATATAGCACTTACGATTACTGCTCATACTGACTGTTTACACAGTAAATTACTGTTCACACCTTAGCTTTTTCATATCTTTCATATCCTATGTATTATACATACTGTACACACCACATGACACTTTACTGCTTCTTTCACACTTTTGGTTAGATGCTAAACTGCATTTTGTTGTTCCAGTACAGTCATTTTAGGTTACTCTAGTCCTCTAAGAAACAAGATTAAGGGTTGATGACCAATATCTCTAGCTAGCACCACCGTATCATATTAAACCTAAAATATATTTATTTCTAACTCTCAGACATAAACATTGTTTGCTAGCTATCTTTTTAGTCTGGCTTTTGTGTAGTTTATACTTACTCTATTTATTAACTTTTATCTTTATTTGCTCTGCTTTATCTATATTTTATTGTTTATATTTAAATTAATGATATATAATTATAATTAGATTTTATTGATTTACTGTTTAAGTAGCCTAAATTTTATTTTGCCATATTTTATTATTTCTTTTTATCACCATTGTATTAAGTTTTTATCTTTTATTCCTTATCTTGCATTATTTTATCTACTCATTTTTTATTGCTCAGTGTGTATTAGTTACCAAGTACATTTTTACTTTATTTCCTATGTTGTTTTTGTTCTTTAATCAACCTGCCAAGCCCTTTGAATTACATTTGATTTGTTTAAAGCAAAATATTGACTGATTGATAGCTGTAATGCTAATTTAGCCATGTTGAATCCCATTCATTTATGCTAACAACATTTGCCACATTTCCCAGATCGCTCTTAGTGCTAAGAGCTTCTTAAGAACGCTCTTAAGCCTCCTGTGAAAGAAAAGCATGTTTCCCAGATCGCTCTTAGCTTAAGAAGATCTTTCACTAAGAAGGAGCTGTAAGATCGAGCTGACCCACTCTTAACAGTCTTCTTAGCGACCAAACGCTCACAGCTCCAGCCGCGGCAGGCATATTCATATTACACTAAGCAAGGAGATATTAAAACAGTGCGCGCCGTATATATTTTGATCTATTTTATACTTCAGATTTATACTGTTTAGCATTAATTGGTGACAGAACTGAACGAATTTCATTCTGCAGGGAAACGCGTGTCCTTACTGTGCATATGACAATAAACACTTTGAATCTTGAATCTATGTTTTATGAAGTCCCTGTGTGCGCTCAAGTTACGCACCGAAATCTGGCGCAAGAAAAATAATAATAATAAGAAAAATAAGTATGAGGAATAACAAGTGTGTTTCTATATGTGCTTTGCACATCAGGCACACAAATAAAATGAATCATCATGACTATCATTTATCATAATTTGTCCGCACATATCCCACATCTGACAGAAACACATCCACCCTCCAAACCTGCAACATTTCACAGATATCAGGCAACTGACAGGTGCAATTGAGCTCAGCTGGAACCTCATCAAGGGCGCTCCATCGGCTACTCTATATAAAGGCGTTGCCACATCACACGTGTGAGATACCATGGCTGCTTTACAGCATATTCTCGCTGCTAACCAACTCCATGTGCGAAGCCAAACCATATATGTAAATGCATTTGTGCATCAGCACTTCAGCACACTTGACGTGCTGTCAGACGGGGCTATCCAAATGAAGTACCGGCTGAGATACAACGCCTCGTCAACTAGTGTCTCCACACATCCAGTGCAATTTCGCCCTCAGCCTGGAGGTGTAGTTCCTGGCTGTGCTGCGTTTTTACGCAGTGGGGAGCAGAGGGAGGAGAAATAATTTTCCAGGACAACTCAAGCTTTTCCAGCACATTTTACTTTTTTTTCTCATTTTCCATATGTTTTTCCATGACTGGAAAATTGGTCAATTATTTTCCAGGTTTTCCAGGATGCTTGGGAAACCTGAGCTGAGTAGGAAATATTGTGTTTTTCATAATAAAGGCAAAACCTGGAATATTTTGTGCATCTAAACATAGTGAGTGATCCATCCCTGTATTTAAAGCAATTCTTAAACATTTTGAGAAATATACACTTTATTTAAGAAATTTTGCAAGTAGAAAGAACCCACAAATACCAACTGGGACACTGCTCACTCCTGCACATTTCAGTCTCCTCTGCACTCCTTCCCTCTCTGAGCACTGATGTGTCTGTTACAGAGCTGTTCTGGGACACAGAGGATGTACACCTACCAGCTATATTCTTAAGAGCATCTTCATCCACAGTGAAGTCCATTCCCAGAGCTGTGCCGTTTTTCTCACACAGATCCTCCAGTGTAGCATTACGCAGTATGTTGTCATATGTATTTCTTGCAAACTCTACTTCAACCTGAAAGAGAGATAAAGCTCCATGACTTTCAGTAGGACTGAACTATAAATCCTTTCAATGAAATGTTGTTTTTAACCTTATTATCAGAGTCATTAGCTTAGCTGCAGTTTAAAGTTTAAGACAGGTTTAAACATTTATTATTAGAACACAGTTTAGGAATGCAGTTCTGGAAAATCATCATATTGTGGGTTTGTTTGTTTGTTTGTTTACATCACAGCCGGTGGCCACAGCAGCTGATCTAAAACACATCTCAGCTTTTGCCTTCAGGACAGAAAGCTCAGCACGTGAGGGGGTTCTCAGGTAGTACTCCAGCTCAGTGTAGGCAGGGATGATGTTTGGTTTCTCTCCACCATGCTTTATGATACCTGCACAACACGCATGATTTAATCAGAGCTAACTAAACTCCTCACAACAACACAAGTGTAGAGGTTCATCAGTTGTTTACCATGAACTCTCCAGTCTGGCTTCATCTGCTGTCTGAGCACAGACAGGTTGTTGTAGCACAGCACCGCTGCATCCAACGCATTGATTCCCTCCCAGGGGTAGGCTGAGGCATGAGACGCCTTACCTCGATACTTTATAGTTACACTGAAAAACACAAGACAAAACACACTTCAGTCTCTCTGCTTCTTTACAGAGTGCAGTTCAAGTTCCTGAGGACCTATAGTATAGTATTTTGGACCTATAGTAGCCCTGGGGCTGTTTTTCTATAAGTGGGTCCTGGTTTATCTTGTGCAAGCATGCTCAACAACGCACATGCATGCATGCTAAAACACATACCTGCAAATGGTTTGACGCTGTTCCACCACTGTTGTGCATAAATGTGCAAAAAGAATGTGCTCATTGAAGGTGCTCATGTTTTTGGTGAACGGTAAACTGAATATATCCGTTTGCAACTAATGATTGTGAGCATCGTTCACTTATTATTATTTTATGGCACCCAGCATACCAGTAGTCTCCCTGTCTGTGTGTGTCCTCCTACCTAAATTTGAATCAAACTTTTTCCATAATCCAGCCATGGAGGGGGTGCTATGCATTTTAACAGGAAGGAAACTCTATTCGACTGGGGAACAGTCGAATAGAATATAATATTACCTCAGGCTTTCCACAGTTATGCAGATGACACACAGTTGTACATCGCCGTGTCTCCTGATGACACAGGGCCGATTGATACCCTTTTAAACTGTATTTTAGATATCAAGTCATGGATGGCAGTGAATTTCCTACAGCTCATCCAGGACAAAACAGAGGTTTTAATTATTGGTCCTGAAGGCAAGAGAGAGAAACTTTTACCAAAACTACTAGATTTTAAACCTTCACATTTTGTGAAGAACCTGGGCTTAATTTTTGACTCTGAGCTTAGTTTTATTCCACACATAAAAAATGTAACAAAGATAAGTTTTTATCATCTTAAGAATATAGCCAGAGTCTGCCTGTTTCTCTCTCAGGCTAACACGGAGGTGCTGATGCATGCTTTTATCTCTTGTCGTTTAGATTATTGTAATGCCCTGCTCTCTGGTCTTCCCAAAAAGAGTATCTCTAACCTGCAGTTACTTCAAAACTCAGCCGCACGGGTGCTGACGAGGACCAGAGGACGGGCGCACATTACACCAGTTTTAAAATCGCTGCATTGGCTCCCCGTGTGTTTCAGGATCGATTTTAAGGTTCTTTTATTAGTTTTTAAATGTCTTAACGGTCTTGGGCCATCTTATTTATCTGACCTGCTTTTATCATATCAACCCTCGCTTATCCTGAGGTCCTCCTGCACCGGCCTTTTAATTGTTCCAAAAGTTAGAACAAAAACCCACGGGGAGGCTGCATTCAGCCATTATGGCCCTCACTTATGGAACAGCCTGCCGGAGAGCATCAGGACTGCAGAGACTGTTGATGTTTTTAAGAGGAGGCTCAAGACTCACCTCTTTAATTTAGCTTTTAACTGATTCTTTTACTCTTTTAATTCTTATATTATACGTTATTTTAATTTCTAATGCTTTTAAATGATTTATTTTTAATCTTTATGCATTTTATTATTATTAAGTTTCTAAATCTTCATTTATTTGTTTATTATTATTTTATCTCATACTTGTTTTATCTCATTATATTGCCTTTTAGTCTTTTAGTTTTTAGCTCCAGTGTTTCCTCATGGGGGGCCTCCACACTGAGAGGTGTACCTGGTCTGCAGGAGGTACTTTGCAGGCGCTGCAGTTGCTCTCCACCGACTGCACCGCCTGGCTCTCACCTGATCTAATAGCTGATTGGTTTAGATGTCGACTCAACAAGATGATGTTTTAGATAAACTTCATTTTTGTTGAATTTCAGATATTTAAGTTTTATTTGTCTGATTTGAAGGTTTATTTATTTAAACATGTTGTGTGACTGATGGTGAAGTTTAGTTGTCAGAGACTGAATACATTCATTATAAATTATATGTAGTCTACTGTATATTAATACTGGTCTGTTTCAGTTATTGAAGTATTTAACATCACAGAGACTTGTGGTCAGTGGGATGTGAGGATTCCTAAAATAACATCTGTACAGATGTAAAGCCCTGACTGTATCTGACTGATCTTAAATGAAAACGGTTGTCTTGTATTTTTTTCCTCTGAAAACATTAACCTTATAGTCAGACACTAATTATTTAGCCTGTATAGTTGAGGTTATAGGTCTGCTCTGCAGCAGCAAACTGATATGATGCTGATTTACATGAGAATTCATGTCAAATGGAGGTTAAACCATGAACTTAAATCACAGATTACCTGTAAAGCATTTTAATATATTAATCTGTCATAATTAAAACAATTGGAGACTGAGAACAAACTGATATATGGGTCTGACAATATTTGAATAAACTGACATTGTATCGGACAGGATGTAAGTGTTTCTGTGACTTCCTGTACAGACTGAAGGCTGCAGAAAACTGTTTGAAAACTGTCCAAACTGACAGCAGCTTTTTGTCACCGCCTCCTGCTGCAGCCGCCTGCTCTCGTCTACTTTCCAGGTGAGGCGCAGTTCATCTTGAACGTGCCTATTGTTTTCAGTCTGACTCTGTGTGTTTGCTAGAATTAAAAATGCTTTAAAAAATGCCTTTAAAAATGTTTTATGAGGAGGGAAATGCTTACACATAATATATTTTAGCCAGAAACAATTAATGTAAACGCTTGTTTGTTTGCAAGAAAACTCCACAGGGTGCCTTACAGTGACTGAAAGAAGAGACAAGTGTTTGTTTTTCAAACTGCTTGTCTATGTAAGTCTGAATAGTGATGGCTGAATGAAGCCTCGTGAAGCCTCATAGAGCCTCATGAAGCATTTTCTTTATTTTCTGAGCCCACTAGATGGCGCTCTTGGTTTAAACAGAGAGGCTCAAAGAATAGCAATTCATTGTGCTTTCAACCTTTTGTTGAACAAAATGCGCCATCTAGTGGGCTCAGAAAATAAATAAAATGCTTCATGAGGCTTCATGAGGTTTCATGAGGCCATCACTAGTTCTGAAGTTACAACACTGTAGGATCCACAATGGCTGCTAACAGCATCCATGCAACGCCATAAAGTAGAAAATTTAGTTATGATCAAATAATCAATATTGTACTCTTGGAAATGAGATTGTTGCATTCAGGATCTTTCCACTCTATTCAGGGACTGGGCCACCATCATGGTAGTAGAAGCTATACGCAGGTATACAGGGTATGTCCATCTCATTTTTTGGCTATTTACAGTATACACACATACATGTATCAGCCAAAAAGCCATTGGAAAATAGAGGACAGTATACCTCTTTGGTAACCTACCTATCAACTAGGTAGTACACCCACCCCATTTACTACCACTACACCACAGTGGGCCACCATACTAATGGAATATATAACCAAGAATTTACATAAAGCACAACATACCATATCACATTACCAGGCCTCCAGTAAAGAACACTGCATGCAGCATACACAACAAACAGAAAGCTGAAACATATTCATACAGGAAATGTGTACTGTAATAAAACTTACTCTTGCACAGCCACACGGCGCAGGTATATGGCATCCTTCTGTGATGGGTGAGCCATAAACACCACATCCAGGCCCTCAAATGCTCCCTCCCTTATCATGTCAATTTTACCTCCACCATCTTCCTCGGCTGGTGTTCCCAGCACCGTCACCTGTGGAGATAGCCACCTTAACAAAAAAAAAAACAAAACAATGAACTCTGTAGTTTTAGAGGTATCGAGGGAATGTTGGTACTACAAGCGATTCATGCGAAACGCCTTGGCCAGCTTCAGGACGCTTTGCGGCATGGACTATGGAGCTCTACGGAGCCCCCAGGTTCAGACAGGAGGAGACAGGAAAATGCCCAAAGCAGGGAAGCTGGCCGACCAAGGAGCAAGCCAAAATTTTTGCTGCAGCCCTGATGGTTTCAGTCTTTCTGGTCTGTTTTCTTTTCTATTTTAATTTGGAAATAGGTGAGTATTATCATGGTTTATGATTGTGTTTTTGTGACTTACATACTTGTTCCACATTGGCTATTTGTCAGTTGTGTCTAAACAGAGAGCGAGAGGTGAGTGGACACATGCGCGCACACACACACACACACACACACACACACACACACACACACATACAAGCAGACAGACAGAGACTTAGCTTTCAGAAAAATTACAGAAAGACTATAGTACCCAAAAAAGGTACCGTTGGGTACTGGTACTGAATTCCAGGTATTGGTTCAAATGTGAGGTCCGAACCCTATTGCTGTCAGATGGCCTCTTTCTTTTGGCACTTCATTTTCTCAGCTGTAGAACTTCCATATTCCTACACATAAGCTCAACTGTGCTGCACATGGTATTACTGAGTGATTATGACAACAACAACAAAATGCCATTCACTGTGGAGACAATCGGATACCTTCATTAACCAGAGTATACAAAAGAAGAATTTTTGAAGACAGAGACTAAATGGGAAAAAATACAGAGAAGTGTGGAGGTTCTACTGTTAAGAAATGTAGTGCCAAAGGAAAGGGCTGTCTGACAGCAAGGTAAAGGAGTGAAAATATTTTTAATATAGCTAAACTGAGTGGCAAAAAATCCAGTTGCCCCCATCCACAGCAGTTCATTGCTGAGTTTACATGTCGGTACTCCTGTCTGCTTCTCCAATCTGGGGGTGTGCTGACTGACATCTACTGTAGGTAATACAGACTATAGATAGGTACCTCAAACAACCCCCCTTCAAAAACAATCTGAATTGACCCTTTACACCAAATATTAAAAGTGGTGACTTAATTTTCAGGTTATTTTAATTTTCCCAACTCCTTCTGGTGCCCTAAAATGGGGGAACTATGTACTAAAATGGCTGTTCATCTGATGGAAACAGCCTCAAATTAAAGCTGTCAACTCTTTTAACAGCGACAGCCCAAGTTTAACAACATGGACTGCACTGTAATTACTGTTTTGTCTCAGTTCCCTGTTTTGTCTCCCTGCCCTGCTTCTTCAGAAGAGACTAATATCTTCAGGTGGATGTTAAATTGACCTGTCCAAACAAATCAAACTACAAGACTTCATTCATAAAAAAGAAAACTGTTCCAAACTTGACGTGAACTTCATAAAAGTATGTACCTACTTCATTATAACATATTGTGCAGTGGTCCTACCTGCACCTGCACAGGAAGCTCACTGTGCGTGTTTTCCAGCACAGCTTTGAGCCCCAGAGCCGCAGCAGCTCCAACCTCAGCTATCATGTTGTGTCCACACGCGTGTCCAATACCAGGCAGGGCGTCGTACTCACACAGGAAACCCACGTTGACCACGTCGCCCCGCCCGCTGCCTCCACTTCTCCAAGTGGCTCGAAATGCAGTGTGCAGTTTGAAGTGAGCGTCCACCTTCCAGCCTTCTTCCTGACTGAAAAACGCTACCAGTCTGTCATGAGACTTGCTTTCCTCATAAGCCAGCTCCGGACAGCTCCATATGTCCTTACTGAGGCTGTGGAGCTTTGCTTCGGCTTCGTCTATACAGCAGCCAGCTCTGTGTTTCAGCTGCAGCAGCAGCTCTGCTCCCTCACTCATCTTGCTCACTTTATGCTTATATTGTTTATTAGTCATTAACTGTGGTACTCACGGTGTAAGTCTCCTTTCGAAGTCAGCTTCCCGTAGTCTTACTGTGGAAGTTCCTCAAACTCAGCGTGTCTGTATCTATTTTCATGGGAATCCCAACCAATCCGAGCTGCCTCCCTCTTCCTGAGTGGGCGGAACCCAGAATCTATGGGCTCATCCCAATACCTAAACCCACACCCACTGGTGAATCTAAAAGTCAAGGATCCTTCTGTGACAGGACGAGTCCTTCCAAAGAAGGATCCTGCAGAGACAAGGCAAGAGTCCTTTCTAGGAACAGTTAACACACTTTCTAATGTTGTACAATTTGAACAAATGTAAGCAGTATTTTCAGAGTCATGTGACTTTTAGGGAAAATATATTTCTGGATTACATTTTTTTTAAAAAAAAACAAACAGGTAGGCTAAATGAAACCTTTGCTGCACTTAGTGCTCTGTCACTGTTTTAATGATGAATTTAAAAACTTTAATGTTTTATCTTAATCACAGTATTTTAAATTGTCATTGTTTGGCAGTGGATGCATTGGAAAGCGTAAATGATGAGGTTTTGGTCAATATTTTTTTATGCTTGAATGATAAAACCTGCGGCACAGTGGTGTAGTAGTTAGCACTGTTGTCTCACAGCAAGAGGGTTCCTGGTTCAATCCCAGGAGGGAGCCCTTCTGTGCAGAGTTTGCATGTTCTCCCTGTGGGTTTTCTCTGGGTGCTCCGGCTTCCTCCCACAGTCCAAAGACATGCAGGTTGGGGATAGGTTAATTGGTGACTCTAAATTGGCCATAGGTTGCAATAGTCTGGTGACCTGTCCAGGGTGTACCCTGCCTCTTGCCCAATGTCAGTCGGGATAGGCTCCAGCCCCTCTGCGATCCTCAAGAGGATAGGCATTTACGAAATTGGATGGATGGATGATAAAACCTCCTGGAGATATTAATCCATATACTGCAAGTGACATACCTATCTAAATAGTCAATGAATCCGAGCTCCGGATTAAAAAGTCCGGCCTTCATTTCCAGCAAATTGTGTACATATAATTGTTGGTGCTTGATACCTTCTGGGGATACACACATGCATCCTTGAAAATTCTCTGAATGGAGGACTCTGTCCCCAGGCGGGATTTGATGATTTGATGCCGTAGCATCCTTGAAATTCAACCATTTAAGGATCCTTCCTTCACTTGGATCTCTTATCTCTATAAGACACGGGGGAGAGATGCGAGAATGAGATTCGAGGAGAGAGGAATCCTCACTTGGGAAATGGGATATCCTTATCAGTCGTGCGTCACTCTTAAACAATGTTCCTCACTTGTGACATATGCACAGCTGTATTGCCTGTCACTGCGCTGAATTGCAAAAGAAATCCTACATAGGTTCTCTACATTGCGGCCCTACGCCAAACTGTGATTCGACTGCCTTCTGGCCAGGAACTTAAGGAGGTCAGCCATGGCTTCAAGCGGCTGGCAGTCCTGTCTTCTCTAAGTGTGTGGGTGCAATAGATGGATGTGGGGGGATATTCCTGTATGTCTTTGTGGGATATCCTGTGCTCCGTGCTTGATACAAGAGTCTTGAGAAGCTGCAAGATTTACAAGGAGGCTCTGTATCCTCCTCAAGGCTACTTCATTGTGGCGGATGGTGGCTACCATTGTATCAAGCAACCTTCAACCATCACCACTCTCTGTATCGAGAGCCACTACAGGGGAGGCTCCAAGGCTTTCACCATCTTCGAACAAGCCTTTGGCATGATGAAGATGCGCTGAAGGTGCCTGCTCTTCAAGGCTCTGGAGGTGAGCCACACTTTTGCATCCACTGTCATCACCACTTGTGCAAGATCTGCTTGACAGAGGGGGACATCCTGGAACCCTGGAACCAAGATGGTGATGACATCATTGTATCCTATATAAAGGACCTTTTCTTGGGGCAGGTGGAAGTGGCTCTGAGTCCCTCTTGTCTGCTTCATCGGATGATGCCTCTTGCTCAGCCCCAGTCGTCTCGCCCTTCTCCATCTCTGGCTCCATTATGCCTTGGTCACCCTCATCTGGACACTCATCTCTCTTGCCGACTTGCTCCACTTCTCTTCCAGCTGCTTGTGGTTGGAATACCTCTGCTTCAACTCTCAGCTGGCCTCTGACCTGGTCGGAAGGCTTTGCGGGTTGTGTGGTGATGGATCTCCAGTCACTTTCATCCTCAGAACTGCCGTCAGAGTCTCTGTCTTTCTGCTCTACCTGCTTTCTACTTCTCCTGTTAGTGTGTGGTTTCTTCTTTTTTGTTGTCTTTCTTTCTTGCTCTTCTTCTTCCACAGGCAGGAAGTCACAGGGCAGTAAAAGGTTCCTGTGCAAGACTCTAGTCTTTCCTGGGCCTCTCTCAGGTCGCACAACATAGACCTCCTCAGGTCTCCCACAGCGGTCTTGTGGTCTTTGAGTGCTTGTACTGGTGCTATCTCAGCAGGATCCATGCAGTAGCCATCCTTGGATACAATCCTTCCCAGAAACTTCACCTTGTCTTTGAACACTTCACACTTTTTAGCTGTTGGCTTTATTCCATGTGCCTGATAGCGATGCAACACCTCTCTCATATCACGGAAATGGTCCTCAAAAGACTTGTGATGTTTCATCTCTCAGACCTGCGAAACATTACTCCATACTTTGCTGAAACTCTGCAGGAGCCAAGGACAGGCTGAAGGGGATCCGTACCCACTCGTACAAACCCCATGGTGTTATAAAGGCTGTAAGTGGTCTGCTACTTTCCTCCAGGAAACCCTGATGGTACACCTTGCCCTGGTCCAGTACTGAGAACCATGCACTCCCACTGAGGCTGTTCAGTATGTCTTGCACTTGGGGGAAAGGGTGACAGTCTGGAATGGATTTTTGGTTCAGTTCTCGGTAATCCAAGCACAGACGTAAACTCCCATCTTTCTTACGTACACAGACTATTGTCACGAGGAGTATGGGGACCAGGATTTTTGAATCCATCCTCTATTCAGTAGTTCCTCCAGGTACTCTTTCACCTCCTTGTGGAGTGGTTTGGGTACTGAGGTGTAGGTGTGCCTTACTGGAGTTGTGTCACTCAATCTGATTTTTAACTGCAGAGATGGAATGCATCCCACGTCATTATCATCTTTTGAGAATGCAGTACACTCTTCTCATAGCATCTGCTTCACCTTTTCCTGCTGATCTGGGGTCAGGTGATCAAGCCCCAGGCCTCCCTGGCCAAACTGAACATTACCTACAATCTCCGCATGCCTAAGAGCTGCCTCTGCCTCCTGAACTGCCAATCTTGGGTTCCACTTCCTCCCCTTGGTTGGATTTGGAACCACACTCCTAACTACCACGTCCTTACTCCCAGATAACAAGAGCTCTGTCCTGACCTTGGTACATTTAAATTCCTCTGTTAAGCTAGATACTGGCAGCTGAAGTATCCCTTTTCCATACAATGCAACACTACTTAGGCACCTCGTAGCAACCAACCACTTCCTAATATAGGAGCTAACCGACCTTTCAATTCTCTCCACAACGGATATTGGAATTTCAAATGGCTACACGAACCTAGGATATAGCCCAAATTGCAAACACCACAACTTCAACTTTCCTGGAAGTTCTGATTTATCTGTTCTATCCAATCCTTCCACCACATCTTTTCTAAATATTACCACCTGTTCCTCATCATTCTACTCCACATTGTACCACCTACCTAAGCTCTTTACTGACTTTTCCCTAATTGTTGGGATTTCCTCATCATCTATAACAAACTTCCTGTCACTTAACTTCCCTCTACGTATCAAGATGCTTCTAGACTTACTAGGCTTGATCTTCATGCTGGCCCACTTGAGGTTCTTATTTACTTTCTCTAGTAGCCTCTTTGTACATGGCATTGTTGTGGTCACCAGTGTCATGTCATCCATGTAAGCCCTAACTGGTGGAAGATGCAACCCGTTCTGCCGTCTCTCCCCACCAACCACCCACTTAGAAGCCCTGATGATTACTTCCATCACCATAGTAAATGCTAATGGTGAAATTGTACACCCTGAGCAGGTAAAGAAAGGCTCGCACACTGCAGGGCTCCTCTTCAGTGCAATTTATTCACTGAGTGAAATGATGACGTTTCGAGCTACCGCTCTTCATCAGGTCATACAGAACAATGGGAGATGGCATCTTTAAATAGGTAAGTGGTCACATGATCAAAAACAGCTGATGCCACTTCCACATTAATTATACAAAGTATAGAAAACAACAATAATATAGCGATATACACAGTCGACTATATACCAACACATATACCTAGTGAGTGTAGAGACATAAATAACACGAAGATGCAACAAGGTACACAATTGTAAAAATATAAACACACTTGAAGCAGTCTGAGTACAAAAACATCAGGTAGGACCGTCATACAGCATCAAACATGCTAAAAGAGGCGCCTCTTATAATAAATGGAAATAAATGCACATCAATGAGCAGCCAGGGCACAGCAGCATAAGTATTAGTGTAAGTATACAGCAAATACAGAAATACATGCAGACCAGCAGAGTTAGAACAGTTTAGAGAAAGGGTCTAATGTCACATTCGTCATTAAGGCCTTTGGGTGACATAGTGTTCAGAGTGTATATCCAAAACAGTTCACGTTTCAGAAGCAGATTGTTAATGTCCCCCCCTCGCTGTGGAAGTTGAACATGCTCAGTGCCCATGTAGGTAAGAGAAGCGGCAGGATGGTTCATCAAATTAAAATGACATGCAACTGGACTTTTCTGATCATGATTTCTGATGGTAGTACTTCTGTGCTCTGAGATTCTATTCTTCAGGAGTCTGGAGGTCTTGCCAATGTAAGCAAGGCCGCTAAATGGAAACCAAAAGGGTGAATCTTGGAAATCTTGTGTGGAATTGACCCAGAACAAGCAGCCGGTGCCGGCGAGTTACTGCCGAGAGAAATGGAGGAGGGTGGGGGTGCTTCGCAGAAGCACAAGCAGATGCCGCAGTTGAATTGAATGAAGAAACGAACGAAACGAAAACCCCGTGTGCACAGTGCCGTTTATAATTGTCGGTCAGAAAAATGCGGCCCACCTGTGTCTGTGTGTGTGTTTGTGCATCGGGACTGAACTCTGCTGTGCGTGATACAGAGAG